GGCCGGGCGGCGGCCGGTGACTCACTCGCGCCGTGACCTCAGCCGCCCCGGCGCCGGGAAAGTTTGGAAGGAGCGCGCGGCCGGCCGGCCCGGGACGCTCCCCTCGCGGCTAAGCCCCGTGGAACGTGGCGCCCGTCACGAGAACAGCCGTGTTCTTGGGCCACTTCCCGGGCTCCTGAGAGGAGGTGGCCGGGGCGGCAGGCGCTGGCGAGCAGGACCTGCTGGCCTGCGGGGCGTCAGGAGAGGGTCCCCGGGCTTTGTCCCCGTGGCCTGCGTGGCTCTGGCTGTGACACGGAAGCCGCACCCAACGCTGAGCTCTTAGGGGCCCACACGGAGGGTGCCCGCGCTCCCCCTCCCTTTTACATTAACCTTTCTGAGTTTGTTCCCTGTTTGTAAGATTGGGGTGAAGATAACACTCGTCCCTTAAGACTCAGAGGCTCAAGTAAAATGGTCTCTTTCGAGGTGCTTCACCAAGGTACTCCAAGAAGGGATTCTTGTAATTTTTAACAGTGACGGCTGGTTGGCTGCTTAGACCTTTGGAGCGGTGGGTGGGCAGGGCATCGGCCGCGAGAACTGACTGGGTGCCTGGTGCCCAGCCCGGGTTTAGGCGCTCCCGCTGCTGTCGCAGCTCGCTCTGGGTCGAATGTTGATAAAGATGCTTTGGCCTCTCCACATTTCCCAGCATGTTACAGTTTGACGTTAGCCAATATGTTTTGTGGCCGTATCATTTTGGGAACACAAGTGTTTCCTGTGGTTATGTTCTCCGTTACACAGACACAAGGGGGAGAGAGTGGGTCGGACAGCTCCTTTGCTGTAGGACCAACAGGGACGACTCCAGAGCCTTCAGCACCCAGGGCTGGACCAACAGGGACCCCAGAGCCCTGAACCCTAGGAAAGGACACACCCAGCTGGGTGCTGTGGCCCTTTTCTGGAGCACACTCCTCCTATTATTAACATCTGACATCAGTATGATTCTTTGTCACAGTTATTAAACCAACTTTGATACATTGTTATTAACTGAGGTCCACACTGCATTCAGATTTCCTTTATTGTGATACCTTTTTCCCCCCCGCTACATACTTTCTTCTTATACTATGCACACTTTTTTTCTGATGTACTCTTTTCATCCCAGGACTTCATCCAGAAGACCACGTTACATTTAATCTCATTTCTCTTTAGTTTCCTCATGGCTGTGACAGTTTCTGACATCCCTTGGCAGTTTTTAGGAGGACTGGGTCAGATATATTGTAGGATGCTCCTCTGTGGAGATTTATCTGTTTTCACAGGGTTAGACTGGGATTGTGGGTTTTGGGGAGGAGACTACAGAGGTGAAGCGTCATCATGTTTTACCACGGTTGCCTGCTATCAGTGTGGTTTATGGCAGTGACCTTGACCGAAGGGCTAAGGTGGTGAAGGGCTAAGGTGGTGCCTGTCAGGTTCCTCCACTCTACAATTACCACCCCTCCCATTTGCATACCACATTCTTTTCGGGGAAGTGCTGTGTGCAGTACATACTTAGGAGTGGGCCTGGGGCTGCCTAGAGGTGCGCTGACCATATTCACCAGGGACAGGGTGTGAGAGCAGGAGAGCAGCAGCCTATCAAAGGGAGACTCCCAGCCTCTGCCCATTATTGAAACAGGATTCTGGGAGGAGCAGGCTGGGGAAGCCTGGAGGTCTTGGAGGTGTTGAACGTGAGGTGCCCATGGACCTCCATGTCAAGTGTACCCACAGGTATTTGGGTACAGAGTGCCTCAGGAGGAGCTGGAGCTGGAGCTGGAGGTGGGGTAGAGAGGATGCTGTCTGGAGCAGCTGGTGGGGGAGAATCCGGAGTGGAGAGTGTGGGATGTGAAGAAATGCACTTGGTCTCTGTCCCTCTCCCCAGTTCCTGCCAGAGCTCCGAAAGCCCTTGGAATTTCTTGAGTGATCAAGGTGTCTCATGTGATAGATAATGAGCCCCCTTTTCTCTAACCTGAGTTTATGCTAATGAAGTACCTGTGATTAGTGGTCTGGACTTCCTACCTCATCCCAACCTCCAGGGAGGAGTGTGGGCCTGGAAATTGAGTTGGATCGCCAATGGCCAATCATGCTTAGGTAATGAAGATAAAAAGTTTTGAACAGGGAGGCTTGGGGAGCTTCTGGGTTGGTGGCACTTGCCAACCTCACAGGGACAGAAGCTTCTGCATTCAGGACTCTTCTGTACCTTAGCTTTGTATCTCTTTATCTGGATGTTCATCTCTGTCTTTTGTAATAAATTGTGATAATAAGTAGAGCACTTTCCTGAGTTCTGTGCCATTCTGGCATATTATCAAAACTGAGGGATTCATGAGAACCCCTGAATTTGTACTTGGCAGAGTGTGGGCAACCTGGGGACCCTGCTTTCAACTGACACGTGAAGTGCAGCCAGTCTTATGAGACTGAGCCTTAACCTGGGTCTGCACTAACTCAGGGTAGTGTCAGACTTGAATTGTAGGACACAGGTGGTGTGGGAGAGTTGGTTGTTAGAAAAAAACTAAACCAAAGGGCTTCAGGAGGGAGTGGTCCATGGACCACATCCCTACTGCAGAGAGGGAGGGGAGGAGAGGACAGACCCTGGGGTTTCCTCAGAAGGCTGGGATGGAAGCCTTCAAGCCTTCAGGGTGCATTCAGAAGGCAGTGAGCATGGGAAGGGAGGGGCTGTGCGAGTTCACGCCACCACCAGGTGTGGGGCAGGCCAGGCTGGGGAGCTCTGGGAGCTATGACGTCTTGTTGGCTTGCCGGGGGGCATATGCAGGGTAGGGAGCCATTTCTGAGCCAGCTTGAGGGAGGGGCTGGCCCATGCAGGGATGGAGGGACAGGCCACGGGTGAGGGGGGAGGCTTCTTTTTGGGATACAGCAAGGGGGGCTGCTCAGCTGGAGTGGTGTGTTCTTTGCCTTGTGCTTTTTAATTTTAACTGAAAATGTAACATTTGAAATGTACAAGATTATTTTACGAATCATGGTGACTGAACTTGTGAGCCAGCTACCAATGCGAAACTAGGCCGATGTCCATATACGAGGTTCTAAATCAGTGTTTGCTGAGAATGGCCCCTGTACAAGAGAGGGAGATTTGCCGTGGCACTAGCCTCCTGTTGAATTACGTAAGTGACAGCTGGAAGTCCCTGTCCCCAGAGGGTCCCCTGGGAGCAGCTTGGGTCCACCTTGCCTGCCCTGCTCCGGGGGTGCCCAGGGGTGGTGCCTGTCCCCTGCCCTGGCCATCTTCTCTCCTCCCTTCTGCTGGCACCCAGAGTTGGCTCTCAGCAACCCAAACCTGTTCCAGCCACTCCTGCTGCCTGAGGGCCTTAGGGTGCCAGCCCGCCTTTCCAGGCTCTGCCTGGCACCCATCAGGATCAGGATCAGTCTCCTCCCCCTCGCAGGCTGTTTTCCCAGCACAGGGCTTGATCAGAAGTAGGCCTGGATGTCGGTCATGTGGATAATCCTGAAGTTGTGCTGATGGGAGGTTGTGAGTTAGAGAAGGCTCAAGAATACATCAGAGTCCTAAAATTGTGCTGTGGGCTCATCAGTAGTGTTTAACCAAGAAATGGCTTATACTTGACAATTGTTTTTTCAGTGATTCTCAGCCCTCACCCCTCACGAGGGCAAGGAAAGCTTTGGGTCACTTGGAGTGGCCCTTGCTTGCTCTGTGGGGCTGCCTGTGTGTTGGGGGTCATGTGCATTCTGGCCTCTGCCCAGCAGAGCCACGCTGGAGCACGTGGGGAGTTGTCCCACTTGAGGGGACCTGAAGGTGGGACTCCCTGTCAGAGGCTGATGTCCCCACTTGGGATGCGAGGAGCCAGGGGCTGACTCAGGTACCCCTTCTTCCCTAGGGCCACCCTGAGGCACTGTGTTCCTCAGTGGGGCAGACCCTTCACTTGGGAGCACACTGAAACTTCCCAGCATGCAAACAGGCTTCCAGCAACTTACCCTACAAAAGAGAGGTGCTCCCTCAGACTCTGAAGGACGGTGTCAGCATAAATTGCCTGGTTTGAAACTGATTCCTTTGTATTTTCTTTGTTTTTGTTGTAGGTAGTCTGGGGGAACATGCGTGTCTCAGTTGTGCCAACACCGTGGGGTTGATAAGCCGTGTGTAAGTACATGAACCTTGGGTCTGCCCTGAGTGCTGCTTGAGTGATTTGGGGAGCCACCATCTCCTACTTGCCTGTTGTTGTTTTTTTAAATATGTCTTTATTGATTTCAGAGAGAGGAAGGGAGAGGGGAAGAGAGAGAGAAGCACCAGTGATGAGAGTCATTGATCGGCTGCCTCCTGCACGCCCCTTATTGGGTATCAAGCCCGCAACCCGGGCCTGTGCCCTGACCAGGACTCGAATCTCGATCTCCTGGATCCTAGGTCGACGCTCAACTGCTGAGCAGCACCGGCCGAGCTTGCCTGGAGGTGGTTTTTGCTTCATTTAAGCCTTTGTCTTTTCACTTTGAAATATATAACCACGTTCATTGGTGAATCTGTGAAAAATAAATCAACACTCATAATCCCAGTGCCTGTTACAAATACTGTCCGCAGCCCTGGCTGGTTCACTCAATGATTAGAGCATCGGCCTGCAGACTTAGGGCTCCAGGTTCGATTCCAACCAAGGGCACGTACCTCAGTTGCAGGTTCGATCCACATGCGGGAGGCGACTCAGTCAATGTGTCTCTCTCACATCTCTGTCTCTGTCTCTCCCTCCCCCTCCCTCTTCTCCTTCCACTTTCTGAAAAGCAGTGGAAAAAATATCCTCAGGTGAGGATTAGAAAAGCAAACAAACAGATGTGGCCGGCATTTTGTGTATTTCATTCTGGCCTTTTTCTTATGTCTGTTTTTTATGACAGTCAGTGGTGCCCACAGTCTGAACACAGTGTTGTGTACTTAACAGGAGAGATCTTTTCCACCCATATGGCTTCCATTTGCAGTGGCCTGTCTCGTGTTTGTGCAGAGATCCCGGGTGTGCAGGCAGCATTGTTGGTGCTGTGCTCTGTCACTGAACCCCAGGCAGGCCCTGCCTCACACACGGCTCTTCCCCGAGCCTCGTGCTGAGTGAGTGTAGGCTATGGAGGTCACCCCCACCAAGTTCTGGGGACACATCTGGAACGTGGTGGACTTAGCCCCTCCTTTTGGTGAGAGGTCCGTGGTACTGCTGACAAGTTAGAGGGCTTACTGGAGGGAGAGGCATCCACCCTTCCCTGTCCACCGTCCCATACAGACTTGAACTCTCAGGGCTGCTGTGTCCTCCCACCTGCCCTCCCTTCTGCCCGCATCCCTGAGCGTAATCTCCTGACCCCTTTACCTGCCTGCGTGGTGGGGCACCCAGACCTCTGTCCTGGTACCAGGTCCTTGTCCACCTGCCCGAACACCCAGGGCTGAGCTGCTCTCTCCCCTCCAACATCCCTGATTCTTTTTCAAGGTGCAGGACCTCCTGCCCCAGTGTTGCTGGCCGGACAGCCCCTCACAGCCACTTGCCTTGGAGCTGTGGGGACTTTTGGGTTTCCTTACTCGTTTGAGATTGTTAATTTGTCTCCTCATTTTGGCTATAAAACTTTTCTGGAGAAAGTTTCCTGGGACAGATTTAATTCCCTAGAATAAAAAGTACACAAGTCACACATGAAAACTTGGTTGTTGTAAAACAAAACAAAAACTTGGTGGTTGTTACAGTAAAATTGTGCTCAGGCATACTTCCCACTCTGACTTTATAAAGCGCTTGCGTGAGCAGTGGCCTGCGGGACCTCTCGCACGTGTGTGAGTGTCTCTGGTGGAATCGGTGCAAGGACAGCATTTGTGGGGAAACAACAGTCTGTGTAGAAGCCCCTCCCAGCGGCAGCCCTGACAGCCCCCCAGCAGCAGCCCTCACGGCCCCCCCAGGGTGTCCGGCTCCTGACTTGATTGTTTTTTGCTCCTCACCTGAGGATATGTTTTCCACGGCTTTTTCAGAGGAGGGGAGGGAGGGACACAGCGATTGGTTGCCTCCCTGCTGGGCCAAACCTGCAACCAAGGTATGAATCGAACCTGGGACCCTTTGGTCCACGGGCCGATGCCCTAACCACTGAGCCAAACCAGCTAGGGCTTGACTTTGATTTTAATTAGGGTTCTGTGGTCACAGGACTTGCAAAGTACTTTTTATGAGATGGAGCCATCGATGTGTGAGCGTAGGACACCATTACTTTTGGCCTTTCTAGGTTTTATTCTGAAGTGAAGTAGGTGGCATTTCAAGGGCCTGGGGCCTGTGGGTGGCTGGAAACCAGGTGGCCCAGCGACCTGGGGGTACGGTCATGGTTGCCGTGAAGGATGTGGCCCCACAGGAAAGACAGCTGGAGTCAGTGTTTGGTGTGAAATCTCTGGCTTTAGGGTACTGATGGCTAAGACGGGTTAGGGGGCTGCTGTGTGGTTGGGTTTACCTGCAGTGAACAACCCAGGTGTGAGGGAGCGGGGCTGCTGATGGGGGCCCCAGAGCTTGCAGGACTGCATGCCTGCCTCCCTGTGTGGGGCATCTATTGTTTTTGACGGTCTGTGTCTGCCATTTACCTTAGTGACTTTTCCAGCCAGCTTTTGTTTCTGGGACCAGGCCTCGCATGTCGTCTTCCTGAATTGTGCCTCTAGTTGAAATTATTTCAGTTCTACATGATCTTCTGGGGACTGTAACTGGAATGTCAGTAAACCCGTAACATCATTGGAGAATATTAACTTTTATCCTCACTGAGGTTATGTTTTTATCGATTGTTAGAGACAGAGGAACACCGATCCAGTGCCTCCCGTATGTACCCTGACCTGGGTTGAACCCAAGTCCTTTTTGGCGCACGGGATGATGCTCCAACTAACGGAGCTGCCCAGACAGTGCCGTGAATATTAACTTTTTTAGTCACATACAGTGTTTCCAGGTGTAAGTTGTTAAGACCTTTTTTATCTTCCAGAAGAAGGTATGTCGTTTTTGTACAGGTCACATGCGCTGCCTTGAAGACAGTTCCCAGATGTCATCTGCTTGGTGGTGGCAAGGGGCCTTCCTTCCCATGGTCTCTCCTAGTGATCGTTGCTCAGCGACGCCTGGTTTCCTGTGCTGGCCACTTCACACAGCCCATTGGGCGTTTTTAGCTGCTGTTATAACACCTTCATCGTCAGAGCTGGGGGACCATCCTCTGCACAGTTTTGTCTTTTCTTTCCAGTGCTTTTGCTTCTGTGCTTTCAGCTCCTCCCTCAGTAGCCAGACCTGTTGTAAGAACAGCTGTGATCATTCCTGCGTCTCATAGCAGCAAGGCATAGAGAGTCTGGTGTGTGCCGCTGTGTGTGACGTTAGCTCCTGGTCTTCTCATTTTAAAGGGTTCTTATTAGGAATGGGTGTTGAATTTGTCAAGGACCTCTTTAAGAGTCAAATGTACCCGCACTTAAGGTTCACATTAAAACATAAAAACTGTGCTTTATGCTCTGGCTGGTTTTGCTCAGTGGTTAGAGTGTCGCCCCGTGGACAAAGGGTCCCTGGTTCGATTCCAGACAAGGGCATGACCTTGGTTGCAGGCTTCGCCTTGGTGGGGGCACAAGCGGGAGTCAACCACTCGCTGTGTCTCTCTCACATTGATGTTTCTCTCCCCCCCCCC